TCAGGATTATTATTTTATGCTTTTTATTAAACTCAACAGCTCTTCTGTATAGGCTCACACAAGCAGGAGGAATTATTTGCTTTTGTAGTGAGAGAGTCTTACAAATCTACTGAATTGTGTACCCTGTTGACAGCCATTGGGAGKTTCCCCATCTGCTGCTTTTTCTCTTTGGTTTTCAGTTGCCCCGAGTAAAAGGAAGATCTCTGTACAGAGAGATACAGCTGTGAGTTGCATTAAGTTGGTTCTAAGGCTGTACCCAAATCTTCATTCCCTGTAGCTTTTAATGTGCTGGCAAGAGTGTCTTAAGGATGACTCCTAGCTTGAGCACACAATCATAAGCCCAAAATCATTCTGTGCCTTGCAATTCTAAAATAAAATCACTCTGCATTTTGCTATTTTAAGATTCTGTTCTGTTGAACACTGCCTGGGTGAAGTGACTGAAGTACTGGGTGGAAYCATTTAGTATATTGGCTGATGGCTCTAATTAGGGGTGATCAAATAAACTTATAGATGGTTGCTTGATTTGGTAAATGTAGGAGAAAATGTTATAAAAGGAAAGTGTTATGTTCTGGCAGAGATCCCTATTGTCACTATCTGAAAGGCTTTCTCCATGAATGGTCATTCCTTTTTTGCCAGCAGGCATTTGGTTTGATGCGACTTSTTCAGAAGGAAAAGAGGTTGGAGAGGTTCCTAAATACAGTAAAATTCTTAACCATGAAAGAGACCTGGTATACTTACRAGATGGGGTTTTATTCTTCAATACAGATTCCTTCAGGATATTATCTCCAAACCATGAATTCCAACTTGCACTTCAGTGGATTTGTCTTGCCAGTTGCTGCAATGAATGTGATAAGCATCGTGCCACTACTGATTCTTGTTCCTATTTTGGAATGCATCAACTCATGGCTCTTCAACTCCAAGGACACTGGACACTCTCCAACAACTTACATTGGTATGTATAAAATACGTGTGTTTATACAGTTTTATGTTTTCTGTTTTTGAAAAAGAAACTTCAGCCTGATGGATGATCCCATACAATTATATCTGACTAGAAATGTTAAGATGGACTTGTTTTGGAATGATGCTCAGAAGTAAATATGTTTCAAAGGAATTATTGAAAAGACAGTCCTGAAAACAGATATCAGATATAAAGAAAAAATGTATAGTTTTGCATTGGAAAAAGACAGATTCCTCTGACCTGTAAAAATTTTGAGGCACGCTCACAAATAACTAGGGGTCATCCTAAGGAATTGGTRTTGGATATAAGCAGTATTAACTGTTTATGCCTGAGCTTTGACTTGGTTATCTTCTGWGTATTTCTTTATCTGTTAGCTTTTGGAAAGTTAATTTACAATCAAAGACTTTTTTAGAAATGAGAAAGTCCTTCAATTAGTTGCGCTCTGATACTGAAGAAATGTGCCTTGCTCAAAATGATTAGTTTGGATTCAAATAACTCAGTTATGAATAAAGGCTTTGCTTTTCTGTGATCTTTATGTTATAAATGCATTGTTCTTAGYACTGAAGCTCATAAGAGGGAAATTGTATTACTATTCCTTCCTACTATTCCTTCCTACTAATTCCTACTAATAACTGTATTACAGTTCCTTCCAGATTCAGCAGTTGCATCGTAAATGAAATAAAATTATGAAGTCTAGTCTAATTCTATATGTGCAATAGGTGTTTTTAGAATGGATGAGCAAAAGAAAATACACAGAAAAGGATGCAAAACAAATGGGTGTGTGTCACTGACTGCTGTTCCCATTGAACAGGCTCAATATTTCACAAGTGGAAGGTTACTTGAAGAGGTAYAACTTTCCTCCCCAGCACTAGAGTTTTCATTAGAATATCTAATGTAAGATAATTGTTGAWATGTTTAGTATTTTCATTATTAAAATCCTTATTGTACACTCATTCACAACAAAAAGGGATCTCCAAAGGTGATGTGTTACCTTTTATCACAGAAGTGATAAAAGGAAGTCTTCCCTGTTGTARATTGACACTGATTTCAGAGAAATTCATGGTCTAGAAGCAATAACTTTAATAAGAGTTGGGCTGCCTTCTCTTGACACTGATGTGGTTTCTTTTATTTATCTGTTTTTTAGTTACCTCCAAACCTCTTATGTTATAGGATCTTGAGGGTTCCTCTGCAACCCTCTTCAGATGTCAGCTACATGTAGTAACAGAGGAAAAGCAGCTTCCATTCTGTATTCACTTAAAACTATTCCTGTTCGTAGATACTCTCATTAAACTTCCTACATTTTTTATCTTCCAGTCTGCATTGCAAACCTCAGATGAAAATATTTATAAACCACTATTTTCTCAGTGTGCTACTATTAATTCAGTGCCCCATGGCAGGCAGCACAGTGAGTACTGACACACACAGAGGTATTAATCTGACTAAATTAGCCTAATTAAGAGTGTTATTAAGTTTTATACAAACCAGAAGCATATAACACAGCAGGTTGCAATTACCCTAGTTTTTAAAATAACATCTGCATTAAAACACAAAAAGCACATTCAGATAATCATTTTTCTTTAAACCATGGAAATTTCGAGTTAGTATTAACGTTCTATCCTGTTACGTTGAGCAGCAGTAGAATATATGCAGTGGTTTATTCTTAATAGGTTCATTTATCAAAATAGCCTCCTGTTAGGGGTGATAAACTACCTGAGGCATAAAAATACCTGTGAGTACAGKCAATGGCTTTGGAAATCCAAGTATATGACTGCACCTGCAAGTACGGTAGACCTCTAAGTGCCAATATTTTTGCCAACAGTTAATTAGGTTCTCAATTATTTTCAGCAACAAAATTGGAAGTATAAATAGGCAGTTGGTGTTAAGCCAGCCTATAACTATATTTTAATTCAGCTCTTGTAAGAAGAAACTTAAATAGTTTTCTGGAAATTTTCAGAGTGATAAGAATAACCATTTTCAAGGATAAACCACATAGACAATGTTGAACTGAAATACATGATTGCTCTGTATTAAGGGTCTGCATAAAAACTGTCATCTGTTACTTTCTCTGTAGTTGTTGGTTTATTCATAAATTAGGTATTACCTAGAAAACATTAAAATCCTAACATGAATTTAGATTGTGTCCCAAATATGTTGAGGATCTGGACCTCTTTATGAAAACTGTTAGTACTTGATAGATTTAAAAATTTTCCAGTTTCATAGTTGTTTATTTGTGGGGGTTTTGTTTGCTGTGGTTTGGTTTTGAYTGAGTTTTGCTACATTTTCTGCTGCTTGACTTGGTCAATAATGTAGAAGATTCAGTAGAGAACTGGAATCATGTGTCTGCTGGATAGTTGTGTATCAGCTACAGGCAAGAGGCTCTAGATTAAATACCTAAACCATAGAAGTTCTTTCTGTAATGTCCTTCCTTGTCTGATTATGCTGCAATATTGTCTTGGATTTACTCTGTCCATGAGTGGTGTGTATAGTTCTCCTTACAGCACACAAAAGCAACCCTCCAGGAAAGCTTTTTAACTTGTAAARCATCCTGTTTTACTCCGGATGTGAGATTGGGTCTCATAGAGGTCCAATACAACSTTAGTCTCCAGATAATAAAAAGAAAGTTGTCCCATAATCACCCCCAAACAYTATTAAACCAGCCTGTCCTCCTATAAAACCAAAGCTTCAGATGGTCATTCCAAGCCAYTTGTTTTAAAGAAGACTGAAGGGAGAATGGTAAAGAGAAAGCTCATCTCTCCGAGGCTCTTGGTTTCTTCCTTTGCCCCATAAAACCTTAAAAGAAAAATTGAAAATTTTGGGCACTCAGCAGTTACTTTTTCTGAAATGTATTGGCTTTTAGTAAGGAAAATGCTTCAAGTATARCACTGTTAGGAATACTGAACTGCTGGAGGTTTCTTTAGTAACAACATAATTTTTCACTAGGAGAACTCTTGCTTTGGACTACTACAAGAAGCTCCTTGAGGGCTTTATACCTGGCTTTGATAAGGTGCCTGGGCTAGGAAATGCTGTTGAATTCCCTCCTATCATCAATTTTCAAGGAAAAAATTTATTGATGTTCTTATTAAGCACTAGAGGAGCCTTAACAGCAAAACAAGTTCCAAGGCTCAGGTTAGACAGGGATAGGATATTTAAAGCTATACAGGACATACAGGAAAACTGTGCTAGTGAGTGTGTGAGAGTTTGGTGCTGAGAGCAGAAACAGAGGCACCTGCAAAAGTTTAACAAAGCTAAGGGCACTTAGCTATAGGAGATTTTCATCTCTTCTATCCTGACACTAAAAAAGACAAACTGTATMTATGTTATAACACAAAATAAAAGCTTTTGACTGTTGATGTTCAATCTAGTTAGTGTAAAAATTACCAGTCATGAAGATTTTGTAAGAAAAATATAGTCCAAGTATTTGAGCCAAAACTCTCAAAGGAAACCCAATTCTCCTCACATTATGGACAAATCAGAAAATTGGTCAAAATCAATGGGAGCTCAAAGCATGGTAAGTATAGATAACTCAGATTCAGAGAGACTTGGAAATTTTACTTGGTTGGTGCTTTTCTTTTTTGAGAGGATACAACCATTTCGTACTGTCAATATCAAAAAATGTAAAATAATATATTTTAATAGTATTCCTCTGTGGGTGAAGTGTGGGATGTTTATAATACATCTGAGTTTTAGAAAAAATTTCCTGTTGTCTGACAGTGTTACTCCTACCCAATCTCTTGTGGTATCTGGAAGGACATTTACCTCTTCTTTCTTTCCTCCTTTCTTACCTCCTTCAATCTTCAAAAAAAAAAAAAAAAAGTCAAAGTTTGGTGATTTTGGTCTTAAGAAAATTTTTTCTCTCTCATTAAATTTGCACTCTAAGATTGTGYTGAGCTGGTGTCCTTTTGCCATTAATATATATATAGGAAGCACTCTTTATTGATGTTTAGGTGTTCAGAAAAAAATGATTTGGGGTGGGGGTAGGAAGCTTCTTTTGAATTTCTTAGGAGTTTGCTTCACTGTAATCCCATGATGATCCTGTAACTGCAGCCTTGGTGAATGCTCTCTGTGCTCTTTACCCAGTTGTAGGTCACTTATGCGCTGCACTTTCTGTGATGGTTGCTGGCTTCTCTGAAATACACCGAAAGCACTTCCCTCAGGTGGAGCAGACATTCTCTGAGGAGGGTCGCCTGGTCTCCTCCATGCCTTGTTTCCACTTAGCTCCTCAGTACATCCTGCTCGGAGTGGCTGAGGCCTTGGTAACTCCCTCCTGTAAGTAAAATCAAATAGGCTAAAKCAAGAGTGTCCTGATTCTCAGAGAATCATATCAGCTTCCTAAAAATAATTACTGTCATCTGATATTTTATCCCTGGCTCTCTTCCACGGGCTTAATGAGCAGATCTGTGCTTTACCTGCTTCAGAGAAGCATCATTTGTCTTGCTGGCTGTAAATCAGAACGAGCAGTGATGTTGCTCCAGATTAACTGGAAGGGAGCAGTCCAGTCAGGTCCCTGGGGTGCACAATCCCCTGAAGCTGAACCTGTTTCAGGCAGGGGCTGGACTGGATGAGTTCCTGAGGACCCTTCTGAGCTGAACTCTCCTGTGATGATTTTATTGAGATGGAACAAAAACATGCATGAGAGCTGAGCTGTGGTTGTGCTCTGTAACCATCTTACAGGCCACAGTCGGAGCAAGGTGAAGCAATTTCACACTTTTCATTTGTGGCCTCAGATAATAGAATTACATGTTTTTCCCTGGCACAGAGCATATGTGGGCAGGTAATAATGACGGGTTAAGCGAGAGAATGGTGTAGGCAGATGCAAGGTTTTTGTTAGTGCTCCAATCAGGAGTCACAAGAACGTGCCTCCMCAGATCGTTGTGTCTTAGCTTGTCACATGGAGCCAGAGAGAAACAGTCCTGTTTTTCAGAGCACAGGCAGAGCTCAGCTTGTGCCTGCCATCCACACATTATGTAGTCATAGTCTTGACTGTGAGTCTGAACCTTCTCTGCTTTCCATAATTTACTTTTCTGTGTCTGCACTGACATTTTTGAGGCTTACGTTCTTCTGAGGAGCATGTAGAGTGCTTACCAGTGTTTTACCTTGCAGAGCTTAAAAAAAAGTATTATAAAAATAATCTAAGTAGCATTCACTTAGASACACAGATAAAGTAATTGACTGGCTGATCTCTGCAGGCATTTAATTCTACTGGTTGAGTGTCTCTTGTTCCAGTACAACCCCAGAAATGTTCAGGTTTTTCTTTAAGAGCAGGAAATAACTTCAGTGTCTCAGCTTCATTCTTATACACTGAGACTACTGAGAGCTGTGGGTCACAGTCTGTCACTAAAAAGGTAATTTTCCCTAGTTTTAAATACTTAGCACTTTCATAATGCCTCTTCATCTGATAGCTCTCAAGTACTTAACTGAGACAGGTTTCTAGGCAGGTAATTTGGTTTCTAGGTTACAGGCTAAGTGTAACTGAAAACTGTGACCTTCTCTGTTTAGCTTAACAAAAAAAAGGTTAGGAGGTGACTTGCTTACAGTCTTCTCATGCAAAAGCATGAGAAGAATATTGCTGGTAGAATAAGGCTTTTTAATCCAGCACACTGGGACACAACTGGRGTCCAATGACTGGAAGATTACATTAGCCTTTAGAAAAGAAATAAAACTCCATCTTGCGGTTTTTCTTTTCTTTTTTTAAGATGTTTTTAAAGGATTGTGGTTAGAATTTCTTAGGAAGAAAAGCTGTCCTTCCCCATTTAAGTAGAGATTAAGCATTRTGCTCAGAGCTGCAGTTAGAGGTCTGACTTAAGAACCCAGGTAAATGGACTAAGTCTGAACTTGAGACTTACATTTAAAAAACATAAAGGGAGGTGCTTAAAATAGGATATTGCTGTAGCTCATGGGGGAGAAGACCTCCATTCACTTGCCCCCAAATAGGTGTCTGGSTCTTTGACATGGAGTGTCTCAGCTATGCAGGCAGGGCAAGCAGGCTCTCCACAGTCTCTGTGACCTCCAGCAGCTGCTGGAGAAGAGCCTGGTTTTCCCCCAGGTCTTGCCCTGGATCAGACAGCCCAGTGCATGTGGCTGAGCTCCACTGAAACATTCCCAGCAGCACTGAGCCTCTGCATTCAGGCCTCTGAACTGAGCTCTAGCTTTCTGCTTCAATTTGAACTGAATTGCTGYTCAGGAGCCATTCAGCGGAACTCCGTGGATGTTAATGACAGCCCAGACACTCAAAGAGTTGTTTCACCTTTCCTGACATTTTACTGCCTTTCTTATGCAGWAGGTCAAATTCAATTATCATAATAATTTACTGGACCTGAAAGTACATGATCCAAGTTGAAGATGGAAATGTTCCCTCTTTTAAGCAGAGGGTAGAAAGAAGATATTTCTGAAGAGCTTGGTTAGAGAAGCTAGATTTGGCACATTGAACTCTTYATCTTCATTAAGACCTCTCTTATTAAGATTGCTCAACCTGGAAAAGAGAAGGCTTCAAGGTGACCTAATTGTGTCATTTCAGTACTTGATAAGAGCGTACAAGAAAGATGGAGAGAGATTATTTACGATGGCGTGTAGTGACAAGACAAGGGGGAATGGCTTCAAACTGAGAGTAGGTTTAGACTGGATATCAGGAGGAAATTCTTTACTGTGAAGGTGGTGAGGCACGGGCACAGGTTTCCCCAAGAAAGTAACCTTGTTTAGTGGGAGGTGTCCTTGCCCACAGCAGTGTGGCCGGAACTGGATGATCTTACAGTTCCGTTCCAACCCAAGCCATTCTATAATTTGGTCCCTGATACTAAGAATTGTGTTTATTCAATGTATTTCATTATCTTGTTGATAAGAGTTTTGAATAACCATCTGCTTCAGGAGGCATGAGTATCTCTTAGAATTACATTGGCATTTAATATTCCTCTACCACTAAGGCAGTCTTAAAAATAAAATAAAACAATGATATTGCTCTCCTCCACAGTGTTACATTGTAAGATCTCACAGCTTGACAGGCTGAATTTGTAACCCTAGCTTGGTTTAAACCAGGAAACTGCAGTTCCTTTAGTTATAGGATATATTGGGGATGGCTTTGCCCACCAATAAAAAGCAATAGTCTCCAGGGGGAAATGCAGCAGCTGTTTAATAGTTCCCATCAGCACCGTGCAGAAAGGGAGGATTGGAGCAGGCTATTGAAACAGCAAGGGTGCTTTAGGTAAGTAGGATGCAATTACCCAGGCTGAATTTGACCAAGATGCATGTTTTGCACCCATGCTTTTAGAAGGGTGGAACAATCAAAAACTTTTTAGTCTTTTAGTGTCTCCAGTTAGCTAGGAAACTGATTGCACAGCACTTCAGACTACTGCACCTACAGATGGTGTCCCAGGGTCACCTGCTTTCTCTTGCCCTCAGGCTTCTGCCTCCCACTGTGAATAAGGAAGAAAACACTCTCCATGGTATTCTTTCCTTAATATGTTTTCAATTTGGATATCAGATTAAAAATGGGGAAAGGTGGTCATTGCAAAGTGTCCCTTGTATTCAGTGGTGCTTCAGACAACTCAGCATCCAAATAGGATCATCTGCTGGCTAGTTTTTCAAACTGGAGAATCATTCTAATTCAACTGATAAAGCAGGTGGGGAGACTCTGGGGCTGGGATGAAAAAGTGTGGTTAAGAACTCAAGGAGCAAAATTAGGAAACAAAAGTTTTTGGTGCTTAGTGAAAATTGCACAAAAAAAGAACAGCTATCATAAAGCCTTGCTGTTACAGCCAAATTACAGCTGGTGGGGTTATTTATAGTCATCCGTGCTACAACAGTGTGCTACAGCTTCCCCTCACCACACAAGTTGCTGCTGCTTCTGTTTAGCCTTCTGGCAAGAAACTGAAGAATGAGGTCTTAAAAATTAGCCAGTGAGCCTGGGGGTTGCGCTGTGGGGAAGAGGAGCATTGTCCACCCTTAGGTAATGCAAGGTAACTGTTCAAATTAAGGCAGAGCTCTAGATTTTGGAACTGTTTACTACTGGCTGTGCTTTACTGGCTCTGGGACAGGAGGTCCTGCTGTTCTGCAGTTAAGTATCACATCCATTGTCTTCATGCTTACTGATTGTGGTGGTGTTTCTCTGGTCTTTATTCTGCCTGAGGTTTAAGAAGGTGCAAGCAMCTGTCCGGGTGAAAGATCTTTGTGTACTTGTAGAATATGGATATTTGTATGAGTCATGGTTATTACAAAAATTCATTTAAACACTGTAGATAATGACTTTTTATAGGGTACATACTAACCCAACTGCCCTCCTTCAGCAAGTACATTCTCTTATAAAATATGGAAATTCACTATTAAAGATGCTTTGATAACTTTTTCTATGTTATCTATCTTCTACCATCATATACTTTTTCTTTTTTTTTAACCTGTAACTGTATCTGCTTCCGTCCTTAGGTTCCTTGCTTTCATTCTGGCTTGTGCCTGAAAGAATGAGAGGGATTTCCATGCATTTTTTAGCTCTCTTTAATGGAGCTGGCTGCTTTTTGGGAGCTTTCTTTGTTCAGACAGCCCACGCAGGCACTCAAGGTAAGAATATGCTCATGATGGGTGTTCCTGAGCAGTTTTCTAATATTATTGATTTGGAGAATCAGGCAGCAGAATGAAAAGGGATGCCAAAGTTTTATTGATTTGCTCTCACAATTAAGATGGAATTAAGATAGGAAATAGCCTTCCAGCTGTATTCATCCAATTTTAATGAGTCATCTTCGTTTTGATAGTTGGAGTAATTAGAGGATGGCATCTTGCAGGAAGTCCTCCTGTCCAATCTCTGTACTTCTGTTCTGGAAGACTGAAAATAAATTGGTTAGGAAGCACCTTTTTGCGTTGGTGAAGTACATTCCTGTTATTCACCTTACATGGAAGCCTTTGGCCTTGACAGCAAGGTCTGTGCTCTAAAGGATTGAGAACATTCCTTCCTGTCTGTCCCACGCTGTTACAGGAACAGGAGTTTGGGTTGAAGGAACTCATTCTCCTGGACCCACCAGTTCTCTCCTGCCTTCTTCACACCTCTGCCTTCGCCCAGCTATTGGAAGAACCAGATTTTGTGACAATACAGTCTCACTATGGATTCATCTGCCCTTTTGCAGAGGAATGCTGCAATTCCCAGAAAACTTCCAGTTTCGAAAGGAATTCTTTTTCACATTCAGTCTGCTGAAGTCTATTTAGTGTAAATCCTATACTGGAGTTTTCCTGGGTTACTGATTTCAAGATAAATCAGGAATTTCTTAAATTCCTTTTTCCTTTGTTGATGAATCTTCATTCAGTATAGAAAAGACTTGTTTAACAAGTAAAGCACTTGAGTTCTTGAACTGAGAAACAGGGATCCCTTTCTTCACAACTTTGAAATATTTCAACTTACTGAAGGAGTATTTCTAAAGATGTCATTGGTAAGTTCTGGTGGAACTGTGTTACAGAGAACTTGAGAGACCACAACTGCTGGTCCTAATGCATGACACCATTGCAAATGCCACGGCCTTAGACTTTTATAACTGTTTAGGGTTATGTTTTGGGCTCTTCTCTTTCCTATGTAAAGAGTCATGTAATTTAAAAACAAGCAAAAGTGGGTGTTTTGAAAGTCTGAAGATTTTTTATTCCTACTTGCAAGATCTGAACAAACAAATGATGCTTTGGCATGTAGTCCTGTTTTTAAGTTAAAAATACAATTAAAATTTTATTACAAGGTATAAATACATCATCTGGAGATGGGTAAAAACCAGAATGTTTACACAAATGATCAGGCAAAGAACTATTAAGCACCAAGGCATCCAGTGTGAAGTGAGCTCCTGGAATATCCCCCCATAGTGTTTTTCATTACATATTGTGGGCTCACTGTAATATGGGTTCAATGAAACAGTTTAAGAAAGGTTGTGTTGCTGACTTTTTTCTTTCCCTGCAAGGTATGGAGAYTATTAATTTTTATGAGATTGAAATATTTAGTAAAACATAGACATTTCATTGCAATTTTACTTTGGAAATAATTAATTATAAAATAATTAAGCATAATGTCAGCACCAAAATATTTTGCCTATATTGTATCCCTATTTTGTAATTAATTTCTTTATGGTTATCTTTATACAAAGTGATCGAGGAAACCAATGTCTGCATTTGATTTGCAATTCAGTAGATTTTTGTCTGGTTTTCTATCAAGGTGATTAGTTCTTTTGCTGTAAGTCTGTATGAAATCATTTAAGTGATTCTGAAAAGYAAATGTTCTTTTCTTGCCAAAATTACTGCTTTAACAGAGATTTCAAATTCTTATCCTGGCTGAGACCAGGAAGGCTGAACTCTCTAAATCTCCACAGGCTGCAGTTACCACAAACCCCTTTTGCTCAAGATTTTTGAGCAAACACCTGGCTAAAATTTCCTGGCTAAAATATTCCTCGCTCTTAGAAAGTCAGGTGGCAAACTTCTCAACTTAGCGCTTTTTTTTTTTTTTTTTTTTTTTTTTTTTTTTTTTCCCAAAGCTATAACTTACGCCTTTGTTTAATTTTGTCAGACCTGCTGTTCTGTAGGTGGAATTGACTGCACCATTATCCTGAGCAAAAAGTCACTCTGAAATTTCCAAGGGAATCAGTGACAGTCTGTATTCAGATTAAGGAGCTGTAATGGGGCTGAATGAGCTGCTAAGTAGGAAAAGTCCTCCGCAAAACTTGAAAAGCTTTAGGGAAAATAAAGTGAAAAGTGCTTAGTGATTGCTCTGTTGCTCTAGTTAGAAGAGTGTTAGAGATTACTTGCCCTAATATGTAAACAACATATTACTGGGCTCTCACTTTKTATTTTTAAAAATAATTTGGATCTCACTGGGTATCTCTTTCCCAGTGTTCTTTGCTTGAACTAGAKTAATGATTCCAAGTTACTACAATTCATTCAATTCACAGCTTGCAAATGATGGTGATATTCCTGTTAGTTCATTTGTGTTATAACGCTTCTCATCCCAGGTTGTTTTCCTGCTGACTCCAAAATCAAATCAGCCTTTTGTAAGTGGGGATAAACTACACCCAAAAAAARCCCAAACAAGTATTTTAGGCCTAGTTTTGGTTTTCTCCTAGTTAGGTAGAAAATGTTATATATAAAATTCTTCTGTTTCATTGGTATTTTTTCCACTTGGACTTCTTACAGTAGACTTTGGTGATTGTGACAATCAKCAAAATAGTATATTTTTTTAAATTTATTGAAACCTCTTGGTTACCTAATAAATCCTCTAAAGTTGGCAGTGCTTTAAGGAAAARAATTGTGACCTCAAATTACAGTCCACTGACACAAATTAAGCTTTTATTTCTCACATTTGGGGTTTTTTTCCAGTTCTGTTTAAAGAGCTTGTAAATATTCAGTATCTGGACAATTTATAGAACTGAAAGTAAAGCAAGCCAACCAGAATTCTATTTTTCTTTTAAACAAAAAAAAAAAAAAGCTCAACTAATTTACAAATTTACTTATATTAGAAGAGCAAGTTCTTTCTCTTTTGCTGAAAGAGAGGATCGTGTTCATGAAATGGTTCTGTAAGATTTAACAAGGCTTAGTGAGTGACTCTTGGGCTATGAATGCTTTTGTCTTGTCCCATGATTCTTGTTTCACTAAAACCTGAGCCAAAACTATTTCTGGTTCTCCCATCTCTAAGCAATGAGACCATGTTTTCCATGTTCCTACAGTGAAGTAGATCCTCCAYTGTGTATTTTGAAGTGTTGAAGCACAGAGAGCGTTGACAAAATTTAAACATTTTTATATCCTATTTTATGTCACTAGTTTAGAATTTTATTTGGGTTTTTATTGGCAAAGTTGATCAGATATCAGTCACAGTCAAAGMTGCATTAATCATTTTTAACGCATCTATGGAGGATGGTGTGAATATGATAAAATAAGACTTTTTTAAAAAATCTGACGAGTGCAAACAGATGATGGGTGACAGTGATATTTTCAGTACAAGCTGGGAAACTGCTTTCTTTTGGATCTCTTACCTCTCCTAACATTTTAACGGAAGAAGACGCAAGACAAAACCTGTCCTCCTATGCCAATCATTTCAGAATATATTTYTCTAAAAATATAATATAAATATGTAAGAAAGAAATAAAAATAAAAAAAAAAGGTCAGAGGAAGGAAACTGCCCCAGACAGTTTTCTTGCTTGTGTTAAGAGAATCGTTGGGGTTTTTTTGTGGTTTAGGTTTGTTGGGTATCTTGGGTTTTGTTTTGTGCTGAGTTTCTTGGGTTGTTTTATTTGGTTTGGTTTTTTCGGCGGTTTGTTGGTTTTTTTTTGGTTTTTTTCGACAGTTTGTTGGGTTTTTTTGTTGGTTTTTTTTTTTTTTTTTTTTTTTTTTTTTTGGTCTTGTGTGATTCTAAATACCAAAGATGACAAAGCTAAAGGATATTTCTTGCAGTCCAGATGGTGGTGTCCTCTGGTGCCTACTTAGCTAATAGGGATTAGAGGGAGAATGAGATTTTAATTTGGATATTATTAAATACTAAATATATGTCCACTAAGTTGATGAAATGATGGAAGGCAATGCAAACCTTTTCTAAAATACAAATTAACTGTTTTCTATGATCATAGCATAATTGCAGGATAGCAGCAGAATCGCAGGAATGGAGTACAATAGAGTACTTTAGAGTATTACAATAGAGTAATTTCTGCCACGTGTCTCTTTTCTTCAATGTTTTCCCCATTATATGACTGAGGAAAGAATCCTGAATGCCTTACTGTGCACATTTGAGCTTTCCCTTGAGATCTCTAAAGGTGCCACAATGGTAAAAGATATGATGTGTGCATTAATATTTGCCAAAGACTGGCTTGGASCCCTTTTCCTGTTTTCCTCAATGGCTGCAATTGCCAGAGTTTCCTTGCATTCAGTCATCTGCCAGAACAACCCGGGAAAGTTTTTGTCCATGTCGTAATCTCTGCTTCACCTCCACCTCTGCCTGTCTCAATGGGATCAGTTGTTTCCTCTTGGTATTGTATCATATTCCTTCTTCCTGAACAGAGTGATTTTGATGCAAAATTGATAGGACTCCAAAATGTCAGTGAAAATTTCCCAGGTGCTTTTCTTCCATGATGGTAGAGCAGGCTTGTGGATCTGACTATGACTAGACTTAGTTTTCTAAGTTGTTCTAAATTTGCCATAAAATACATAACCAGTTCACCTCTAACTAATAAGAACAGTCTATKTAATATATATGCACGTAAAGGAGASTTCTGTTTCTTCGTGGTAATTCATGCTACAAAGTATTTCTACTGTTGGAATAAAAATGGAAAGCAGGAGCTTGTTGTGGAAAGTTAATTCCCAGTGAGCAATTATCCGTGTGACAAACCAACCTTGTAATTGCTGCTTCTGTTGGCATTCTCCATAGAAAAGTAAAGGATGCACAGAGCCCAAAGACAGAATCTTTTGGGGGAAAGTGAATTGTTAGCATATTGCATGGTGATTCAAGGGTGGGAAGATACTGGTGTCTTCAAACACAGTGATGCCCAGGGTACCCAACTCCAGCAAAACCAAACAAGCTAACCCAGTGAGTCCCTGAGGAGTCCCTTCATGGCTGAGAGTAAGATCCTGAAAGCAAGAATCCCAAAGGAGTCACTGGAGGGTGCTGGAGTCTGCAGACAGCTTGTGGGAGGTGTTAGTGGGGTCAGGGGTGAAAGCAGCTAGCGGGAGTTTTGGTGCCTGAAACACACAGATGATGTTTTAGCACAGATGACTGTTCCTGCAAGCWCAGGAGAGGATTCTCTGTAAAGTGAGTGTAAGTAAAAGTGAATATATTCCAGGTTTATTCCCTCTTTCATGGGAAAAAAATTAAAAAGAAAATCAATGCAAGAAAAAAGAGTAAGAAGTAAATTTTTTTGGCTGAAAGTAGAAAATGGTTTTATTCATTTTTATTGCATCCACTGATGAAAACGTGTGTTGGAAGGATTACAGTCTGGATATCCTTAGGACTGCTGCCATCCTTCTTTCTCTGTAGAGGAAGGCCTACCCCAACAAACCTTGTTGTTCCTCTCTGAAAAGAAGAGAAAGCTCTGATCCTACCTCTTGCTTTGGACAGAGCAGGAAACCAGGGAGAAAAATTGTTGCAAATGAGCCTTTGAAACTCAGAAGCTGCAAAATTGTTTGTTAATTTTTTAAATATATATTTTCTGTTCGGGTTCCTGTTCCTTCAGGACACTCCTGCCTGCCCCTGTCGTTAGCCTAGCCATGGTGGATAACCTAGCAGGCAGAGTGAACTCTGCTTTGACGAGCTGCAGTGCAGACCCCCATGAATCTTTTCCCTTTCATCAGATTCACATGTTCTCTCTCTGCCTTAAATTCGCCCCTGCGGGATGAAAAATGAAAAAATACCTGATTGTGAATGATGACTGTAAAAGTTTATAASCTACTAAAATGAAGTTACAGCACCTATGAGCTCAGTCAACTCACAGTATTAGATGATATATTTTTAAAACTGGCTCTAAGAAAATGCTACAAAGGGAAGAGAGCAGGCAGAGGTGAGGTGGTGCAGCTCTGTGACAAACACAAAGGTARCATGGCATGGAGAGAACTGTGAAGGAGTTTGGGAAAACTGCTGCACTAATGGCAGTTGTTCTCTGTTAAACCCAGGAAAGCTAAAGGCAACAGCTCTGAAAAGAAATATGTTTGCAACTCTAAGATGTGGAGGGAATAGAAAAATTTAAATATATGAGCATGTGTTTCGGGGGGTGTAATCCTTTGACTGGCATCTCTCCTGTGYTGTAGGACTGCTCTTTGTCTCTAATTAGAAAATATATTGACAATCTAAGGATGGYACTCAATGGGTAAAGGTGGCATTAGTGGACCAAAGATCTGTTAAGGTGGTAAGGTTTTCACAATAYAGCTGTGGTTTTCCTTCTTTCCCTGTTAAGTCATTCAAGGGGTGAATGGCCACACTATTTAGATGGGCAGGATTTGATAGCAGAGAAAGGTGATTTTGGGCACATTGATGCTGGTGTAGTTCAGATCAGGGGTGTGCTTTTAATCTAATTCTGCTGATAATCTCTGATTTGCATCACAGAATGATCTTGGAGCATGAAAACAACTGAATTCCTTTTAGATGGAACTAAACAACAACCAAAAAAATGCTCATGTCTGATACGTTTCAGCTGTTAGWGGGAGCTGCTCTGATGTGAATCTCCCTCAGCTCCATCTTGGTAATGGAGCACCATCCAAGGCACTGAGTGAATGCTTTCAATGTTTTGAGTTTTAAATTATTTTTAATTATATTTTTTAAAGAAAAGGCTGTTAAAAGCATGAGAGACATGAGTAAGGATTTCTACAGACCATCTTAATTCTAGCTCTTCCTAAAATATTCAGAGCTGACTTTCATTTAGCTGTGTGCACACGATAACACAGGTGGAAGAGGGTCCAGTCATTGCAGCAGTAGTTGTGCAGGATTGGGTTTTCCAGTACACTTCAGTTTTATTAGGGGAGTTCTTTAGCTTCTTTAGATCTCTACTGCCTGTCTGCAAAGCAAGAACAAAAGTACACTGTAGACTCAAAAACCCCCCACAGGTGCTGTGAGGATGAAGTCTGTATCAATAGCTACAGGGGGGTTCAAAGCACCTGCTGGGACTGTGTCTCACTCTAAGTTGTCTTCATGTGTTCTGTATGAGCCATGTCTCATGCTGCAAGGCAAACTAATTCTGTTTCAAATGTCTGCTTTGCCAGGCAACTGGTTTCCACACTTGCTGCACGAAGGTAAATTGGAGAGATTCTTCTTCTTCCTGGCTTCCTTAATGATGGTGAACACCCTGGGGTTCYGGACCATTGCACACAGGTATGTGTGAGAAAATGAAAGCTTGATGTTTCATTTGTAGGTGCAGGCAGAAAGTCTTGTAAAATCTGTAAACTAGTGTGTGATAAAGAATTGGTAGTGATAGATCATATGCAGAGAGAGATTTCACAGCAAAAATGCGGTGAGGTTAAAAAAAACARAAAAACCTCAACAAACTGATGTAATTAGCCTTAAACAGTTAAGGGGTCTTATTGATATAAAAAAAAAACCTTAAAGAAAGAAGAGCACCCTTAAAGAAAGAAGGGTGTGAATATGTTGGCACGGAACATAGATGGGAGCWCAAAGATGTGCTGGCCATGGAACTGACCTCCACTGCACTTGGTTTTGTACCAATTTACAGAAAACATTGCTGCTCTCTCCATGAGCTCACCTCTTTAGCATAGGACAGTAGGCAGAGGCGTGATGAGAAAGCAGCAGATTGCTGCAGGTAAATGCTGTGTGCTGTAGTTTCAACAGARCAACCCCCAAATATTTCCTGGTAGTCTACTGAGCATGGGATGAGAGCAATTTCCTTCTGGAGTCGTCAGAATTTCTCAGCCCCCTCACAGGAAGCAGCTTTAGAGGTTTAATCCCTGTATTTTACCTGCAAAATTCAGGGAGCTCACAATTCCATTTAACTTTCAATTGTTAACATTAGAAGTAGTCCTTGAAGTCAAGAAGAGGGAGGGAAGTTCTGTGCCACCATAAGTGGGAAGGGTCTCGTGCAAGTGGCATTTGCTCTTGGGTGTTGGGAGTCAGTTCTATGGACACCCTTCAGAAACCWTGATGAAGCAGGGATGTGATGGTGACAGCAATAGAAAACTTCCAAGGGCAGTCCACTTCTAGAATTCTTGACAAAAATACTGYTTTTTCTATTACATATAGCATGAACTTAGCAGTACTAAGGTTTACCATAGCATCTTGTTGATTTTCCAATGTGATTCTCTTCTTTTAAATGTGAATTGGGTAAAAAAAAAAAAATTTTCCTCCATATACCTTGAACTCCTCTTATGAAATGAGATTTTATTCTTCCRTTAATTGAAATTTTCATTTGTGGCATTTACTGCTGAAAAATAAAAGGTTTTGGTTGTTAAAAAGTTACCACAAAATTAGTTTAAACTAAAAAAAAAAATTTGCTGCAGCTTAACATGCTTTTAAGAGGAAATCTGTTGATCTCCAGCCTTCCTGAAAATAAAAAACCAAACTTTTTTTTAAAATTATTTCAAACCAACATTTCACTTCAGAATTAAGGTACCTCAATTTTCGATATGACAACCAAAACTTATAAGAAATACATTTTCTTCAGATCAATTGTAATTGTTTCATTTTTTGGTGAATAAGAATTCTCTAAGAGGGGAGAAAAAAGAGTTAGGACTATTCAGATAAGCACWGATTTAGGCATGGGGAGAAATCAGACTTTAAAACTTGGAATYAGAAAAAATACACTAAAATTTCTCTGAGGAGAAAAAAAGCATGTTCATTATTAATTTTTTTTTTAAAAAGACATAGTACAAGTATTATCAACATCTGCATCCAGTTTGAGTCTTCTTATCCTGAAGTCCTCAAAGGCTCTAGGAAAATGTATATCACTGTGTATCACATTTTTTGGGCTGCCTAGAAGTCCAGGACTCTAAAGGCACTGTAACTTGCAAAGTATTGGCTGATAAACAATGGGTGAAGCTGATACCTTAAGGAAYGACTATTTTGTTATTTTTCTTCTGTATCATCACCTCCAGATACAATAATCTGCATCAGGATTGCACTGAMGAATTCAGAGGAAGCCTTCCTGGAGAAAAACTTTTGAAGCATGAAAAAGCCATCAAACATTATAACACTGTCCTGGAAAGTTCTCCTATTTTGTCTCCTGTGGAGAAAACCTGATGAAATTTCACCCTTGTTTGACTAAATTTTAATTGTGTTATCCACCAGCTCTCTAATGATAAATTACCAAGCGTACTTAAGTGGAACTCTGTCCTGGTATTTTATGAATTATCTGATGAATAATAATGTTATTTATAAGTTTACAAAATAGCATTCTTCATAGGATTTGGCCTTGAAGGAGGCTGTAGTGTCATAATTCACATTRAGGATAAGGAGACCTCACTGCTTTACCATGGTTGATGGAGAGAGGCTTTTAATCTTTATATGGTGATAGATAGATAATTATCCACATATATTTGTACCTATGAATGGTTAAAAAATAATAAAAATACATGCATTTGTTTAGCAAATTACTTTGTGACTATAATTTACAAATAATTTTGAAATCTGGTAGTGGCTGCTTRATATTTGCAATGGTGGGAGACTTCTGTGCTATTCTTGGCTCTTGCTGATCCTCTACCCATCCTTCAGCAAGCTGCTGCTTTAGTTTCCCTGACAGAAAAATGGACAAAGGATACCAACTTTCTTTGAAAATTGCTTTGAAATCTACCAAAAATATACTAAAAACAATGTACGAGTCATCGGTCCATAAAGAATGTCATGAAACATCGATGCTGAGGCATCCAGTCTCATCTGGCTGCAGCACTGGGAGATTTTCCATTCCTAATGGATGATACAAAAAACATTGATGATAGGAGAATGAGAGACTGGAATATACCAGCATCCAATGACAAATGCAGCCCAGCTGAAGGGAATTAGGAAAAGAAAATTGGGAAAGGGTAGATGCAGCTGGAGATGGAGGGGAACAATTATCAGTAAAATGCATGCCAGTTTCAAGTTCTACACAGTGTTAAACGTTTCCAAAATTGGCYGATTTTTTGTAATTGTGAGAGATGATAATCTAGCACTTAATGTTTCTTTTTAAAAGTCATGTTACTAAAAAGGGTGATGACAGATACAGGGTCTTTATGTGACAAGGAAACATAACGGACCCAAAAACTAAAGGAGAACTTTGACATCAAGGTATTTATAACAGAAGTGGTAGTTAAATCAGAGTACTTGCTAGATATGAGGAATGTTCTACAACAGGTGAAACTACATTAAAAGAACATAATGCACTGAAGTGATACAATTTGTGAGCTGAAACTATGAAAGAGCTGCCAAAGGAAATCTCTTCTGCACCATTAACCACACTTAATGCCGAAACTTTAGGTTGGATGTCGGGGRGTGGGAGAAAAAACTAGTGAATGCACCCCTTCCGACAAGGGACAGACTATTTCTCCAAAAGTGACTGCATAAGCTGGGCTGGAGCTGGGCCTGTGAGAGGAGAGGCAGCAAAAGGCTGAAAGATCTACTCTCTGAGGACACTGAAAAATGTGAGACAGGCTCATTTCCATTTATTTGAGTAAATTTATCCATGACATCTGACAGTTACTTGCTTGCAAGGTATTATTTTCTAAATTATATTTGTACTGCAACAAACCCAGGTTTAAACCATGAAAAATACCAGTTTTTTCCTGAGAAGTTTTTGAATGCTTGACCATTGTCCTTGCATAAAAAAAGCTACAGAAATGCTGGCTGGAGTCTGCTGACAGGAGGGACTTGATTGCTGTCAATGCATTTGAGGATTATACACAAAAGGAGAAGAACTATGTAATAAAAGGGTAAAAATTAAGATTTGGCCCAGTGAACATGATTGGGCTGGAGATGCTTTTAACATCTAATGACTTTTTTTTTTTAAATGCAAAAGTAACAGTGGTTTGGAACCATTTACACCAAGAACAGGAAAACAAGAAACTCTRTTTTAAGGTAAAATGTTTCCTCTGTTGAATTCTCAAGCCGAATGGCTTCAAACTTCCCAAGACCACTTTATTTCTTTTTTTTTTCTCCTCAGGAACAGAAGCATGAGAGTAGATGACAGCAGATAACTGAATGCACCTATTTGATTCTAATTTGCTAATGAGGATAATTCTACAAGAAAAAAGAGGATTAATTAACTCCCTGGATCGGGCTTCCCTGGCACGCMATCACGCAAGAAAGTCTTTCAGCAATGAAGGAAGCAGTTGGGCARCCTTGATAAACAGGTACTCTGGAAAACAGTGGTTAGAATGTGCTTTGGGATGAAGAGTTGAATATTGAAAACTTCCTGCCTTCTTCACAYAGACAGGAGGAACGCTTTTGCTATCAGATTTAATCAAGGACTTGACCTTTTAGATGGATGGCAGAAGAAAAGAGGGTACTGGTTGCTGAATTTTGGCTTAGTTCAGTTGATAGAGCAGAGGAATCTTGATGCAAAAATCTATCAATCAAGCTCACTGTTATGACAGAACAATTTAGCACTTAAAACCAACAGACAGGGATTTTTCTTGAACTGCAGCATCTAGGACTCTGTTCAAAGATGATGGAATTCTTTGTATGTACAGGTCACTGCCTAAATTATCTGAATCTTGTGCCAGCACACAGTGAAGTCAATATAAAGGAYCCTATAGGTTTGGCCTTGGCTTTGAAGGAAGCTGATTTTCACTTCTGAAAAATTTAGTGATTTTTAACATTAAAAAAATTAGAGGACAGGAAAAATGAGGAGAGRTGTGTGCTTGCAAAATGATGCAATAAACAGCTGGAAAATGTTAGGAGAGTCTTTTTTTGTTCAGCTTTTTGTTGATATATGGCAGTTTTCATGGGGTGTAACAAAGCACTCACATCTGATTGCTTGTKTTTGAGGTCACCTGTTGACATTCTGGGTTGCTTTGCACGAAGTAAATTAAAAATATGCATCTTTTAATCCTCACCATAAGGGTGTTTATAGTTTTGAAATGTATTGTGAAAAAAAGTTGCCTCCTAGTTGAGATTAGGAGTGACCGGAAACATCCCAGTTCACTTTTTTATTTGATTACTGCCTAAGTTTTTGAAGTCTTCTTCCAGCACAGAGTGCAATTAGTATAAAGGACTCTAGATTCAGTCTTGACTTCAGAAGAAGTTGCTTTTGTGCAGCTGTGGTCATAATTGAGTAAATGCTGTGCTCACTAATAATAGGGTCATTAATAATTTTGAATAGCCAGATGTATTTCTAGTTACTTCTGGTACAGTTTTGGGGTGTCTTTTTAATGGTTAAATACATGTTTTCTACTGTGTTCCTGTGAAAAAAAAAAAAAAAAAAAAAAAAAAAAAAAAAAAAAAAAAAAAAACCAAAAACCAACAAGTTCTGTCCCAGACAGTTCGCAGGGCACCTCAGTTAAGTGTAAATGCATGGGACACCATTTTGTGTGTGGGGTGGGGGGAGTGGGGCTGAAGAAAACTCGATGGAGAGGATTAAGATCTCCATCTGTTAAGTTTGCACTGATAATAAAACACATGCTCCCAGTTGGAACAAGATGCATTAAAAGAGCAATTTCACTTCTACTGCCTAGCAACAATGTCATTGAGCACCTGCAATAGTTTAAACATTAAGCATAATTGGCTTTGCTTGACATAAATCTGTAGTTTTGTAAATAAGAGCAGTTGAGTTTCTGTGTAATACCAATTAGCGATAAGGAATGCTTTGTTTGCTGAAGCCTGCAGCTTTGTGGAGGAAAGAGGGAGTTGTTAAGACTCAGCAGTGGTAGTCAGAAGGTAKAACCCAGATTAGACATTACACAGGCTTTGAATGTCCTTGTGAAAGTTATTTAATTTGTTTTAATCAGATTCCCTAGGTATAAAAGAATAATATTCAGAATTTTTATTTGGGTTTTTTTTTTTTTTTTTTTTTTTGTAAAAAACTCTGAGAGTGTCTCATCAAAATACCTTGGGGTTAATTTTGCAGTACTAAACTGAACTATCTAGTTCCATGCTGGATTTCTTTTCCCTTCTTTTAGTTGAAGCTGCTATTCCATCATGAAAGTTCCTGTAAATTTTCTAGCATCTCTTGTTTTCTGTCAGTGATGGAGGAAAGAGGTGCACGATTTAGTGGACATGAAAATAGGTCTTCCTCAGTTCCTGTGGCAGCTGTGGGTTGGAAAGGTGAGGCAGGAGAATTGCTTCCTTTTGGGGTTATAGAATAGAACAGCAGAGCAGAACTACAGCTTTTAACTTCAGCTTGGATTCTGTTTGCTAGAACATGTATTAGATTTGCCTTGGCAAGGGCAAGTGCAACTCCCTTCCATAGAATCTTTAGAAAGTCTTCTTTTTTCCCATCTGAAAAGAGGAAGTTCACAATTCTTCTCATGATTTCTSTGTTCTGAATAGAATAAAAATTACTTTTTCCTTTCTMTCTACCKGGTSTCTAGAAAGTYTCACCATAKAAGTCATATTCTGGTGGTGTAATACTTTAAATTATTCTAGTTTCAATCTCTGTCTCTAACTTTAAATATAGATTTCCTTGAATCAGAGAAGATTGACATCTGAACCTTATGAAGTCTACTAGTATTGGTGCTGACTCTTTAAAGTTAATCTAATACTCAGTAGTATTAAGAGTGAAAGAAACTGCTTTAACAGGGATTTTTCAGTATTTTGAAGATATTTAATCTCTAAAGTGTTGTGGATATTGCACCCTAAGATTATGAAGTTGTAGATACAATCTTTAGATTTTGTTAGGGGATACATACGGTCAAAAAAAAAAAATAGCAGGATTTTTTTTTTAAATATTGTGTGACCAGCATATTTTTCTACTTTTTTTTTGTGTGTTTATTTTGTTTTGAGGCTAAATTTTTGTTCTTTCCAGATTAAATAAAGAAATTGGAGTATGTATATCTACAACTGACTGGGGAACAGTCCACCACCTTTCAAAGTATCAGGATTTTATGTAGAGCCAAATGTTCTCATTCTTATTTAACTCACTTCTGAGAAAATGCACAAGTGTAGAAAATATTGCAGATATTTGCTTTATATTTTTGAGGGTTAGGCTTCTTCCCTGTTAATATGGGCAAGTCCTGTTCTAGTAGTTGCTCTATCACATCTGGAAGAGCTTAGCTTTTGACAGAGGTTAAAATTATTCAAGCTGAATCTTGAATACCCAGCAGAGTGTGCTGACCGGTTGGAGCTGAATGCAGGSATGCATATT